AAAAGGCACATTTAAAAAAAAAAAAAAAAAAAAAAAGGCACATGTATAAAAAAAAAAATGCAGGTGCAGTTACAAATAAATGTTCATTTGGGAAAATGAAAATTTTCCCAAATGAACGTTATAATGTACGTTTACGTTATAATGACTTAAACGCTTGGTTTTTGTCAGGTCAAACAAGCACATCGTCTTTTCCTCCTAAAGCATTTTTTATGGAAGGAATTTGAGTGGTTGATATTAAGATACATTTACATTTTCCTCTTTTTTTCCCCCAGAATATTTTCACTCAATAAATACGCCAAAAAGTCATGAAAACAGAGGAAAATACCAGTGACGGTTGCTGGAAGAGGTTCGTTTAGCTCCTCCACAGTCTCAAAGATTTTCTTATAGCCTCCAGCAGGGTGCTCAAAACTGAAAAGTGAGGGAATAAGTCTATTTTACAGTACGTGCACTTACATGTACTTACAGTGTACCTACAAGGTAACTACATGGGGTAGGTTTAGTGCCTAGTTATTGTTATTACTATAATAAGTACATAGTATATACATGAGCAACAAGACTCTAAAATAAAGTGCTACCCAATTTTTTAATACACAGAAAGGAAAATCTGAGAGAATCAGTGCACACAGATTTTTGCCAATTCACAACATCACTACAGACATGTTCCCAATGACTTAAACAGCATAAATCCAAAACATAAGCATCATAAAGCTTGTGTTATACAGGAAAGAATAAAAAGAAGGTCGCTTACCGGCTAACCATGATTGCTGCTGGGACAGTCGCGTCTGTGACTCGGCTTGTTCTTGTCGGTTTGTCAGCAGAGCCCTGAGTTTATGGGTTTTATACTCTATCCTCTTACACAGGTTTACTCTGACTTTGACTCCTGTTGCAGCCAATGGCAGCATTTACTAAACAACGAGCCCATTGTACAAGAGCCTGAGCTGCCTTTACAATAGCCATTCCTTCAAATAGGATTTGAGATTTTCACGCAGCTGAAAGCTGTGATGCAATCAGGTGTACAAAATGCGATTGTACAATGCAAGAAACAGAAATGAGCTGAAATCAGCTGACAAAACACCCAACAAAGACTTTATTCAGCTAATAATAACATATGCAGCAGTTTTCATAATAATGCACACGAGTAACCGAGGTTTACAATATTTCCACATGAGTTTTAAATCTTTCAGGAGAATATAAAATAAAATAAAAAAATTTCTTTTTTTAAATGGATTGCATGACAGAAGTCAGTATATTCTTTTTTCTATATTTAACACTGTGAAATCTGTCAGTGGCAGGGAAATTTAACGGCCTAACAAAATAAATCAAACAAACCACTGATTGGTGTTTTGTCTCCAAATACCCTTTGATGAAGAGATGCTGTGTAATCCAGCTATATTATGGCAGGACAAACAGCACATTGTTAGGCCAGTGGCAAAACAAGACACACGATGAATTCACCGAGCCACAATAAATCAGTCTAGCAGCCAAAACCAATGCTTTAAACATGGTGACTGTATAAAAAGTGTGGGAGCTCTCAGTCTTCATGTCATCTGACAGCTGATTGCAATACAAATGTTAATGTAAGAGTCCCAAATAAGTCTTTCAAGGGCAAGTTTTCTTCTCTCTTAGAATGAGAAAAAAAGACTTGTATACTTATGCAATAAATCTATTTTTTTGCCTATTTTAAGCCAGTGCTGCTCGTTTTCTTTTTGTAGGTTTTGTAACTTCTGAGGTCACAAGCATGACGGGTTTTGTTGCTGCAGCACAAACGAAGGGCTTTCCGTTTTTTACATTCCTGAACAGATTTGTGAACAGATTAACTGTGAAAAACACGTTCGTTTTAGCAACACAGCCAAATTAAACAAGCATAGCATTGCCAAAAAAGCACTGAATTTATATAAAACTTTTATTCTGCATGAGTACCTCTCAAAACTCTGAGAGTTTAGAGAGATTGTACAAAAACATAACATTCAACAAAATAAAAAAACAATGCAGCCTATTATAAACTATTGTGTCTAGCAAATCCATATCTATAAAAATGCTTATTTATTGCTTTGCTTGCTCGCAATTACACTGGCTTCTCATACTTGAAATTAACCCAGTGGCATTTTTTTTTATCTTGAGTTTTCTTTCTGCATGTTTAACATTGTTCATTCATTGAAAAACAACCGTATGGGAGAAGTGTGCATCATTTTTTAATAACTGCTTTGATGATTCGTGGAAATGTCAACACTTAAAGGCAAGGCAAGTTTATTTATGCACAATGGTAATTCAAAGTGCTTTACATAAAAGGAAGTAAAATAATCATAAAAAAATCACAACAATAAAACAAGGAATTTAAAAATGGATTTAAAAAAGTTAAAAATAGAAAATGATTATATATAAAATACAGTGCAATGAGTTGGGACGTAGCACAGTGCTCATTCAGTAAATGCACAGCTAAACAGATGAGTTTTGAGTCTGGATTGAAATGTGGTTAATGTTTTAGCACATCTGATCTCTTCTGGAAGCTGGTTCCAGCTGCGTAATAGCTGAAAGCTAGTTTTACAGCAAGATTATCATCCCATCATGTCATTATTATCAGCTTAAAGTAAGGCACGCATGTACAGTGCATCTAAACTTACAAGGAATTTACATTTCATCAGTGATTGTTTGAATATGCATGAGTGTTTATGCATGCCACGGGAGGCTGTTTCTGTGGCTTAATCTGAGCTCTTGTATGCATTTACACGTGATTAGAATGATCTTCAGAATCAGTTTAAACCTGCTACTATTCAAGTAGAGCGTGTGAACTTGAGGCTCGTGTTCTCTCTGCATGTGCAGTCTTTCTCTGGTTGGAGTGACACGTGAGGGCTTGTGCTGAAGTCCAGAAGCTCCCTATGTGTAAGCCTCTTTTGCCTTGCATATGTTTCTATCTGCTGTGTTAGACTGGTGCATGTGATTGATTTGGTGCCTAGTGCTACCAAACATTACGTTTGTGTGAACGTTGCTCATCACTGCTTCTGCTTGTCAGCTCTGCTGCATGGCGTTTTGGATGACAGCAGTTCAGCTGTGCAGTTGAGACACTTCGGACTCTAAGGAGTCAGGCAGCGGGCAGACTGGTGCATGCAGTTTGCATGATAGGTTGCTTTTGACTAACTCTCCTTGTCAGCTTCGATGCATGCTTTGGGACCATGAATTTGAACCACTTTGAACTCTGATGAGTTTGGCAGTGGGCAGATGGCGCTTGCAATTGATTTGGTGCTTTGACCACAAAAGCAGTCTTAAGTCGCTGGGGTATATTTGTAGCAATAGCACACAATACATTGTATGGGTCAAAATTATCGATTTTCCTTTTATGCCAAAACTCATTAGGATATTAAGTAAAGACCATGTTTTGTTAAGATATTTTGTGAATTTCCTACCTTAAATATATCAAAACTTCATTTTTGATTAGTAATATGCATTGCTAAGAACTTTTGGACAACTTTAAAGATGATTTGCACCCTCAGATTCCAGATTTTCAAATAGTTGTATCTCGGCCAAATATTGTCCTATCCTAACAAACCATACATCAATGGAAAGCTTATTTATTCAGGTCATATCACGCAACAGGTCATATTTATAACGATATTACAGATAGACCACAATATACAATAATATAATATTAAATTTGTATGTTATTAATTTATTTTGTGTTACTACTCAAACTGCTGTTTTATTAGGCTTATTAAAATTATATTAATATTATTCATTTATTAACACTTGAGATACGTGAAGGCTTTCTATAAATGCACACAAATAAGCATAATTTTATGTTATTTTAATTACATTTAATAATCAAAGACCTACGTGCATAACTCATCAGAGCATATAAATCCAGTGTTGCCTGAAATAAATGAAATGAAATTTGATATAATGCATTGAAGAAAATAAGTCTTGGAAACTCTTTAAGGTTGAGTTATCGTCTTGTTTCTGCCTTTTGTAATGTGCACAGAGAATTAAATTGCATTTTGAATTCATTTGAATTGACAAACAAACAATCCTTTTGTACAATTTTCAGTATCAAACCATATTAAATATAAGCTTCCAGTCCCCCAGAGTTCAAAATGCCAAACTATGCAAAGCCTTTTCCATTATAAGGTAAAACATGAACTATTATGTCCACACATCTGGTAACAATATTGAATTTCTTTTCTAATGAATTGGAACATTTCCGCTTTCTTATAATAATTCCTCATTTCTGTCCTACATAGGTCTTCATGCAAACCCCTTCCCCAAAACTGAAACACTGAATACTTGGACCAAAGTGCTCTTACCGTTGAAGCCACACCATTAAATCCTCTTTATCTGGCCTGACATCCTCCTTCTGCCAATCCCTAACGGCAGACAATGCCCACAGACGGACAATAACTCTTCATGATTGGCACAAAGTGGGATTCATTTTAAAAACAGCTCCATTTGAAGACATCTGAGAAAGGTTAATTCCAGAACAGAATGTTCCAGAACATTAGCCAACAGGGATAAATGAAAAGGGCTAAGAGTGGATATACGAGCGATCCGTAGAGAGCGTGATCAAGAATGCCCTGCGAGATGACCGAGAGGAAGAGCATCCAGCCCTCGCCGACGCTGACGGGTGCTTCGATGAGCTCCTGGTAGATGAAGACGCAGTAGAGGATGGTGAAGGCAGGACTGAGCAGCACCATGGCCAGAGCGCACAGAGCTCTAACAGAGAGACCGAAACACGATTAGAGGCTAATATAAATATGAGACCACAGACACAATTTCACACTGTGATATCACTGACCGCAAACCCATGTAGCAATCAAATCAACACATAACGTGAATACTGCAGGCAGACTGTGTGTGATACAAACACTTTGTGTTCATATGAGTCACTGTACTCAACGTGTTTTTATTAAATACAGAATCGATTACACTTCGTCCTATAGTAATGGCACCGAGACGGCTTCTTACAAATGCTCAATCCTTAACCTGTTAACCATCAACCCCCTTTTTGAATATTTGAATGCTCTGAAAAAAAGAGACCTTGGGTTGGTCTCTTTTTTTAAAGATATGCTGAAGTTTTTATAGAAGTTATAGAAGTTTAAATTTATTGTAAAGAATTTACTGTACTAAATTTTGAAAGGCCTTCTGTAGCGAATCGATGTGTTTTTGTAAGAAAAATATCCATATTCAAAACGTAATAATCACTTTAATGTAGCTTGCGCTCACTGTTGTACACGGAAGCAGCTCCGGGCGGATGACGTATGAGGTCAGAGGCCTTTGTTCACCCCCCGGAGCCGTGTGAGACACTTTTTTTTTTTTTATGGATGGGCGCTTTTTATTTAACTGCTTTTGGACTGATGCATGCAACACCCGCTGAGTGGCATTAAACAGCTTGAAAGATCAAAGACCATTTTTAATATAACTCTAACTGGATTTGTCTGAAAGAAGAAAGTCATATACACCTAGAATGACTTGAGGGCGAGTAATGTATGGACTAATTTTCATTTTTGGGTGAACTAACCCTTTAATAGTGACATTTAGAGGGGTTAGATAAAATAATGTGACCATGCATTATCAATATAATTTGCGCGGACTACAGTAGAAAACATTGTGATTATCTTTTATTTATGTTTTCGTTGTCTATACTTTATGGGTTTTGTATCAGAGGAATGTTATTACATTTGATGTTCATTATGATGGCCAGTGGGTGTCTCAAGATTTGCTTATATAGCGATGCAACAAATTGTCTAATTCTCACCAAAATTGAGTCAGATTGTCTTCAGAGCATGCATGACAAAAAATAAGCGATTATTTGTTTGAAATGTGCATACTTGGGCATGTGCGGCGTGATGCTGGCGGTGATCGGCACCAGCGTAACCGCCAAGATGAATCCCAGAGAGAAGTTAATGAGGGCTGTGCAGCCCAACAACACCGCTAGATAGAGCAAAGCCGTCAGCTTCAGCACTTTCCAGCCCTGCTCTGTGCCCTCTCCAGACAGCAACCTGCCACAGACAGAAAGAAATGCATGATCCATGCTGGCGAGTAAACATGTAACGCAATATAAACTGCATTAGAATGAGTTTGTGTGTGTACCGCTGTGTGTTGTGTGGCAGGGCCAGGCCTGCAGTATAGATGGCAATAGCAGTGAGCACCACAGCTTCGGTTTCAGACACAGGGAAGTGCTCCACAGCCATTTCCTGCAGATGAACAGGTAGCAGATACAACGCCACACCTGTCAGGTGACTAATCACCACCGGGGTCAACACTGTCAACATGCCCGGACTGGACGGCTGCAGAGAAACAGAGAAAGCTAATGTTATGCAAGAACATCTGCAACGACAACTGGGCTTCCATCACTGAATCGAATGCAGCATATTTCTTCTTTTGTTTTGATAAAAATTAGGGGTTGCATGGACTAATCGACTTCAATGCTCTGCCATGACGCTTTAAGCTTGACGTCGACTAGTCGCTGGTCCTATAGAGGGCGCAACAGGATAAAAAAATCTTTGAAGGACTTCCACATTTTACGCTCAGTTTCCGAACAGTTAAAATGACAAATAAATGCATACTCTGAAAGCGCTCCACAAGACATGTGTGATTATATTACTGGATGCTCGAAATTGAACGGGAGAATGCACGTTTTAAACAGCTTATTGTACAGGTAAATTAATCGCCGTTCTAATCTAATGCACTGCTGCACTGTAACACACACACATTACAGACAGTAGCTCGTACATCACACGCAGATCGTGCGCGCACAATCATTCAGAGCGGAAATGTATGGTCAACACTGCTGTGATTTCTCAATAAAATAGCGTAGAAACTGAAAAGTTCAAGCATATATTTCGTAATAACTAAATGCCACAGCTTCACTACTAGTAGAGAGAGACGCTGCCAGGTAGAATTAATTCAGACATGCAGTCGCTCTCACTAATGCATTCAAATTAATGTAATCTTTACTGTGCTACTTTATCTGTATCTGATTTAGAACGAGCAGAAATCTGTGAGAAATATAACGACCCAAAGACAAAAGAACTGATAAAAATGAGCTGTTATAGGAGCAACAGCCATGTGGGCAGCGCTGTGTCATATGCCATAGCTGTGCACAAGGTGTTTATCACAGCTCCAGACTTATTTGTTCATTAATGACGTCATCAGCGACTAGTCGACTTCGACTCGACTTTCATCACATAAAAGTCGACTTAAAAAAAAAAATCAGAAGTCGTTCAGCTCCTAATAAAAATAAACACAATTAGCCCTTATGTTGTTATCTTTTTACTGAAAATACTTGTTAATGTTACCACATTGGACTAAAACGTACGTGCTTTGCTCACACAGGGTATAATTTGATCACTTTTGTACTTTGCACAATTGACAGTTTTTGTTTTGTTTTGTAACCGACTGACTGTAGGCCTCACTGATCTGAGCTTATGCACCTTAATTTTTGAGTACGAAAACATTATTTGTGCCTCATTTTTGGCAATGTTCACTCAAAACCTGAGGTGCATCAGCTCAGCTCAGATCAATGAGGTCTACGTGCTCACCGAAAGAAAACAACAAGTTGATGAAAAGATTGAATCTAAGATTTAGGGATAATATAGCATAATGAGAGGTGCAAAGTATTTTCAGCGCAGCACAAGGGTTAGAGTCAGCAAGCATCAATTCTACTTCCATAATGTAACATTTTACAGTGGGGCAGAATGAGAAAAAATAGACAGAATGATGTTTATACCATTGTTTGATGCAACTGCATGCCGTATTTTTATATGAAAATAAACAAGCTGAAAACACTCTTAACTGAAAAACCTTTAGTGCTTTTCTATAGTATTAAGCCTCAAATGTCAACTATACATCGGATTGGTTTCTTCTTTAAATTATAAAAAAGTTAAAATATGAATGGTATTATAATGTTATACTAAAACTAAAACAATGGAAAAACCCTAAAGATAACATGTAGAAAGAAAATAACATATCTTAAGCGTGCAGAATAACATAAGTGGACTTTGAACGATTAATTGCCGCGTTGAACGATTACGCAATTGTGGCATCCATAATTGTAATCGTGATTAGAAATTCGATTAATTGTGCAGCCCTAGCTGAATTAAAAGAATGCATGATCAAAGTATATCAGAAAGTGTTTGACTGGTTAGTATTGGTCATGGCTGTACATTTTTATGCGTCGCAACTAATTTTCTGTGCAATACAAAAACCAACCTGCCAATGGTGGTGGCGTCTGTCTTGTAGTGTCTGAAACTGTTGATGCCTCGAATGGAAGCGGCTTCGATGTGATAGCGGAGGAAGAGGCCGTGATCACCCCAGGACCGTCCACAAGCTTGTTTCAACACCATCAGCATCATGGTCTGCGCCGCGTGCGTGTAGCCCTCAGCCGTGTCCCAGTCATTCCTCTGGAGCTAACACACAGTCAACAGCAATGCTCAAATGTAACGCTAGCCAGTTTCAGTGGAAACAGTGTTGCCAGATTGGGCGGTTTCGCTTCTGCTTGAGCGCGTTTAGACATGTGGACCAAATTTGTACTGGTTTGGGATCAGTTTGGCAGTTTTCAGTGTTTGCATTTTATAGGCTAATTGGTTTACAAGCAAAACCCATTGTGTGAATATATTGCCATAAATTTTAGGGATGCACCAAAATGAAAATTCTGGGGCAAAACCGAAAATTCTGGATGCACTTGGCCGAAAACCGAAACTGCTTTGTAATGATTATTTATTATTTTATTAAACAAGTAATTTTGTAAGATTTTTTTAATTTAACTCAATTTCAATGATACTGAATTTAAAACAAAAAAACCAAAAGCCAATTAAAAACAGCCACACTTTTACTGAAAGTAACACAATAATATTGGACATAATTTATATTAATATTAGTAACACTTTGCAATAAGCTTCAATAGTCAACTACTTTATTTAACATGAGCTAAGAATAAACAATACTTCTTCAGCATTTATTAATCCAAGTTAATGTCAACATTTACTAATGCATTATTAAAATCAACGGCTGTGCTTGTTAACAGTTAATGCGCTCTGAATTAACAGTGAACGACTGTATTCTCATTAACTTACATTTAAGAAAGATGATTAAATACTGTAATAAATGTATTGTTCATTCATGTTAGTTAATACATTAACGAACATTAACTAATGTGACCTTATTGTAAAGTGTTACCTTAATATTAAATATCAATATATTATTTTTATTCAGTTCCATGCAACAGAATCAGATATAAATTTGTTTTAACTAATTATCCAAATAGTGTATAATCCTACAAAGCTGTTATTATCAGAGCATGTGAGCAGAGCAGAGTGTTATTTTACCAGCGTTATTAAATAGCCAGCCATATATATATTTTTATACATATATTTTCAGCTGGTATTTTCACCTAAAATTTGGTGCATCCCTAATAAATTTTGTTATAAATTTCCATAATTCTGATTGTTACATCAAAGCCAGCATGTGATGACTTAAAGGGACAGTTCGCCCAAAAATAAAAATTCTGTCATCATTTACTCACCCTCAAGTTTTCCCAAAACTGTGCGAGTTTCATTCTTCTGTTGAACACAAAAGAAGATACTTTGAAGAATGTCGGTGACCAAACAGTTGATGGTAGCCATCGATTTTTTTCATACTATGGAAGGCAATGGCTACCGTCAACTGTTTGGTTACAACATTCCTCAAAACATGTTTAGTGTTCAACTCACAGTTTGGAATAAGTGGATGGTGTGTTATTATTATAATACAAAATGGGTATATTGTATGTTTATTTTAGAAAGAAACTACTGATTTGATTCGAATCACACGCTTAGACGCTTGAGCTTGTGTTTGTAGTAAGCTAAAACCACTATTAAAATGTAAATAGTGTAATAATGACAATGTAATGCAAGTTTGTTTCGAGTTTCATTCTTCTGTTGAACACAAAAGAAGATACTTTGAAGAATGTCGGTGACCAAACAGTTGATGGTAGCCATCGATTTTTTTCATACTATGGAAGGCAATGGCTACCGTCAACTGTTTGGTTACAACATTCCTCAAAACATGTTTAGTGTTCAACTCACAGTTTGGAATAAGTGGATGGTGTGTTATTATTATAATACAAAATGGGTATATTGTATGTTTATTTTAGAAAGAAACTACTGATTTGATTCGAATCACACGCTTAGACGCTTGAGCTTGTGTTTGTAGTAAGCTAAAACCACTATTAAAATGTAAATAGTGTACAGACAATGTAATGCAAGTTTGTTTCATTGTGTCTGACAGGCCTACCTTTCCCTGAATGGTGCACAGGGCTCCTAACTTCTGACAGAAGGCATAGAAGAGGTTGGTCAGGTCCAGGTTGGGCAGCTGACCATTAAGTCCTTCTAAAATCAGGTCCAGGCTGGTAATGACATCACCGCTGAGCTCCAATGCGAGGGCAGCTTGAATTGACCCTGCGCGACCCTGCAGCGGCGAGTACTCCATTCCTGAATAAAAGCGAGAGCCGGAAACATAAACACGGACAGAACCGGCAATGTATTCTAGAAAAGCAACAGAACAAGTACAATTACGAAATCGGATTATTAGGTGATTTTTCATTTTCTGGTTCCCCAGTAAAGCAGCATGCTTCACCTGTACACACCTGTGATGTTTGTGTGGTGGTAGCCTTCCAGCCAGGCCTGCATGCCGATCAGATCATGCTCGTTCACCAAGAATATGATGTCCTTGGCCCAGTAAATCTGGTCTTTACAGAAGAAGTGGACAAAACAAAACGAACGCAAACAACGACTAAATCAAAACTCGAATGTCTTGCATAACTGGAATCATTGCATCAATACAAACAACTGATTTTACTTCCATCTAGCAAAGATCGACAGTATGTGTTTTGTGAACTAGTCTTATGCCGTTTACCCAATCTAAGCATCATCAAGTCCTATTCTCAGGAGTTATCAAAATGATCAAAACTGTAATTTAGCATCTTCAAATCCATCCCAAATTTCAGCAGTGGGAGTGGCTACTTTTACGCCAATGGCTATAGAGATTTTTTAAAGAAGTTGTATATCTATGCAAGAAAAACATTACATTTGGCAGGGCCTCTAGCAGTTACAAACATAAAAACAAAAGACTATGTAGCCATTTGTTCATGGATATTTTACCAGATTTAGTACAGGGATATTTTTTGGTTTTAAACATTGAATTGCCAGGATAATTAACAGCTATGGCAAAGGCATAATATTTATTAAAAAGGTTCTTGAACAAAATTGTGGACAGATTTTGACAAAAATGTGACATTTTGGACTGAATCTGCAAATTAATGTGCAAATTGGTGCTGATCAAATGCCAGGCGGTGCTTAATAAATATTGTAAAAAAAAAACGTTTTTTAAAATAAAAAATAAAAACCTTCATAATGATTTAAAATGCTGTTCTGATATTTAAATACATTTTTACTCTTTTATGCATTACACTAACGTGACTATTTTAGTCACTGCATTTCTGGCATTACTCGCTAAATTACATAAAAACCTTAAAAATAAAATTAATGGTTAAAGTAAACCAACAAGTCAAATAACGGTCTCGTTTCCAGGACAAATCCTCAAACTCATGCAACTTTTAAAGGCACTATAGAAAAAGTTTTATTAATATGATTCTTTATTAATATTATATTTAGGTAATATCTAGGAATTTTGGGGAAACACAAGGAATTTTTCAAAGACGATATGGAACAATTTCTGAATTTGCTAAATCAAAAAAAAAAAAAAAAATGTAAAGATTGGTTTTGTAACTTTGTCATGCAAGACTGACTGAAATCAGCGTTGAGGATGTTGACAGAATGTGTTCTAAAGTGTCTTACTCCTGAAATACTGTGCGAGGGCCAGCAGAAGCCCGACCGCCTGGTTGTTGCTGTTTCCAGGACTGCAGGGAGCAGTGATGACCAGAGCCTCTGTCCGAGGAGCGCGAGCAGCTCTCAGGATCCCGTACACATTCCTGCCTCCAACCATCTGAACAAAACATGTTTATATTCAACTGCACTTCATCCTTTCTTCAGTTTTCAGACATTAACTCTTCTGTAGCAAAGCCAAGGGATCGATGATCCGTTTGGTTGTTATTTTATGTAAATACTATTTATATAGTTTGGGAAAATCTGTACTTTTGTTGCACTAGACAGTTTGCACAATTGTTTCACTACTTGCTACACTGTTTGCATTCATTGTTCATGTTCAGATTGCAGTACACACACACACATATATTATGTAAACAAACACTTTTATTTTGGATGAGATTAATCGTTGGACTGAATCGTTTGAATATATATATAAAAGGTCACTTTTGCTTCAGAGTTCTGTTATTATATATTTCTATTTAATTTACTCCCTGAACTGTTTCGGACACATCTATATTGTCAGTAAATAATAAAATAGTCCTGTTATTCACTGAAAAATAAAAAAATAATATAGTTATAAATAGATATAACTTGCTTAGGGAATGTTAGATGTAGAAAACAATTCATTTGGAAGTATAACTTTCTAAAGAAAAAAAATTCAAACTTCAGGAGTACTCGCGTTTTTCTTAAAATTCTGGCAAATTCATCCATTCTTGAAGAAAACGAATGTAAAATTGGAACGTTAAATCAGCTAGAATAAAACTTCAAGTTCTCCTGTTTATTATGATATGTGCCATTTGATGCTGACTGCTAGAACAGGTTTGAAACACACAGAAAAGCACAGGCGAGTCAGGTGCCGCAAAAATGTTTAAGGGTTAAAGCATGCAAGTGACCTAAACGCCTACATATATAAAACTGCTTTATGCATATGCAAAAGCATTCCAAAAAAAGCTTACAGTTTGGTGATTGTAAAGTGACTAATAATACAGACAGACAGCACAGGGACTCACATATCTTTCTTTGTTCTCGTCAGGGAAGGGCAGCTTACGGGAGAAGCTCTGAGTGAACACCTCCAGTCCTCTGGCTTGCATCGCTTTAACTAACCACTCCACCGGCATCCCACTGCAGAGACAAACCACGATCATCTCTGACTTCCTCCAGAAACTAAACCCGCTTTAACCCCTGAAGTGCCACCCCCCATTTTTGAACATAGTAACATTTAAAGTGCACTATCCAAACTTACATTATTATAATTCATGAAAGCTTTGGAATACAGACCTAAGGTTGGACTCCTGTTTAAGAAGACAATCTGCAGACTACTGCAGAAGTGGGATCATTTCAAAATATTAAAAGTATCAAAAAGTTATAGAAGTTTAAATTTACTGTAAAGAAAATGCACTGTACCAATTTTTGTTTTTATTTTATATAAAGTAAATATTTTACAAAATATTTTTGAATCCAAAAATTGATATAAAACTAAAGCCTTATGTCTAAATAAGTTATGTTCCAAATTTGAAGTTGATATAAAAAAAAATTAAATTTAGGGCGTTATACCACAAACAGCCACCGGGTGCCATCCAAAATCTGTAGAATTTTGTTAATGCGTTTTTCTGTCACGAAGGTCTAAATTTCTCTGTCAAAAAATACCAACCACCAAACATGGAATCTTGAGACTCGGAACTTTCCAAATATATGTATTTTGTCAAGATTATCAAAACTTTTGATTCTAAAAGACCGCAATACATTTAGTAATATGACACTTGACTCCGCCCACTAAGGGGAGGAGACCGCTAAAAGATTTTAAACTACCATTTCCATGGTAAAGCAATGTCCGATTTAAAAATGGTTTTCACAGATGAGGTTTTAAGCTTTTAAAAGCCTTGGTTCATGGGTCATAGCATCATATAATTCATCATATAACAGCATACATCACATAAAGGCAACATAATAGCATCATATAACATGCATCATATAATTTATGATGATTACTAAAATATGTGATGGAGAAAAAAGACAACAACAAAAAAAAGAGCGCCATTGGGCCCACCTGTGGGCCGGTGGCACTTAAGGGGTTTTAATTAATCACACCGCAGTGACTTCTGTGCTCTGCTCACCCTGCCTTTCTTTTGTGGGCATCGAACTCCTTGGCGAGGGACAGCGCTCGCTCCCCGGAGGAGAAGCGCTCCTCCACCATAGTGGAGCCCATGGCGTTCTCTGACATGTACGTGCGCAGAGTGAAGGGCTCGAACGCCAGTCCCATGAACCACACGATAGCCGCCAGGTAGCACACAATACTGAACGAGAGAAACGGATAACAAATAAGGAAGAGATGTCATAGCGTGTCAGGTTCACACAAGGTTGAAGCTGGTGAAGCACCTACCATATGGGTGTGTTGAGGCGGGTCAGGAGGTTGGTCAGGGCTTTTCTGCGATTCGGGTCAGACAACAGACCCATGATGCTCTGCTTCAATAGACCTAATCAATTAAAAATGTATAACACTGTATAATGACTTACATTGGTCGAACATCAGAGTTGAAGTCTTCAACAACCTAGCAGCGAATTTGTATTTTTATTTTTTAAGTCTTATATAAAAGTAACAATAATGGTTTCACTTTATTTTGACGGCTCCTTTAATACATTGTTGACTATAAGTGCACCTACATATCTATTAACTCTCATTAGAGTATTAGTAGAGTGTCAGGTTAAGGTTGGTACATGTACTTGCAAAGTTACTTATAGTCAGTAGATCGTCTGTTGAGAGATTAATCACAGTCTACTAATACTCTGATGAGAGTTAGTTGACATGTACACTACTGGTCAAAAGTTTGGGATCAGTTTTTTTATTGAAGTGTCTTCTGCTCATCAAGGCTGCATTTATTTGATCAAAAATACAGAAAAAAACAGTAATCTTGCAAAATGTTATTACAATATAAAATAATGGTTTCTATTTTAATATCCTTTAAAATGTAATTTATTTATGTGATGCAAAGCTGAATTTCCATCAGCCATAACTCCAGTATAAAGTGTCACATGAGCCTTCAGAAATCATTCTAATATGCTGATTTATTATTAGTATTATCAACAGTTGTGTTGACAAATATTTTTTTGGAACTTGTGATACTTTCTTCAGGATTCTTTGATGAATAAAAAGTAAAAAAGAACTCATTGTCAACAACATTTATTCAAAATATAAATCTTTGCTAACACTTCTTAATTTAACACATCCTTGCTGAATATAAGTTTTCATTTCTTTCAAAAAAAGAAAGAACAAAAATGTACTGACCCCAAACTTTTAAACAGTAGCGTATATAGTTAGAAAAGATTTCTATTTTAAATAAATGCTCTTCTTTTTAACTTTTTATTCACCAAAGAATCATGAAAAAAAGTATCCCAGGTTCCAAATAAATTGAAAAAAAAGTAACTTGCGTTACTTATTTGAAAAAGTAACTCAGATATTCTCTTGTAAATTAAAAAGTAATGCGTTACTTTACTAGTTACTTGAAAAAAGTAATCTGATTACGTAACTCACGTTACTTGTAATGCGTTACCCCCAACACTGCTGAAAATACAGCTTTGATCACAGGAATAAATTACATTTTAATGTATATTAAAATAGAAAAACGTTATTTTACATCATAATAATATTTCACAATATTACATTTTTTCCTGTATTTTTAATCAAATAAATGCAGCCTTGATGAGCATTAAAAAAAACTCCTTTAAAAAACACTAAAAATCATTCTGATCCCAAACTTTTGACCGGTAGTGTAGATGCAAAGTTACTTATTGTCAACAGAATGCTCAAAAGGGACCATCAAAATAAAGTGTTACCACAATAATTAATAATAATAAAATCTGTTTTAACATGCATTAAAATGCTTACAATAAACGCCAACACAAACGATAACACCCTAATCGCCTCCCACGGCAAATAAGTAAAATTAAAAGACATTACTAAGACTAAAATGACCAGAGTTGTAACATTATTAAGACGAATAACCTGCAGAATCTGTATGATTTATTCAGCGTTCCGGATGAGACACTAGCTCTGCATCCCCTGCGATGAACAAATTTACAAAATATCTTCATGGAACATGATCTTTACTTAATATCCTAATGATTTTTGGCATAAAAGAAAAATGGATAATTTTGACCCATACAATGTATTGTTGGCTATTGCTACAAATATCCCCCAGCGACTTAAGACTGCTTTTGTGCTGCAGGCTCACATATGACCCATATAATCGCATGTTTATCATCACTAGCAAGAATCGAGTCACTTTAATCACATATCACCAGTGCTCCCGAAAAAGCAGTGAAGAACACTACATTAAAAACATCTTGGTTACTATTGAATATTTCTTTGAATTGTCTTCAAATATTGGTGTGCACCGACTGGACATGAACACATGTTTGTACAGCTGTGCGTTGATCTGTAGCATCAAACTACTCACTGTGTCTGGGTGTCTTCAATACTCCAGTCACTGAAAGGATGATGAGCAGAAGAGCTGCTATCAACTGAGGAGAGAGAGGAAACATGATTAACAACAACACAGCACAAAATATATTCTCAACACTGAGAAAGTGAAAATGCATACTTACACATCTCAGGCATAGAGACCGCTTTGATCTGACTCCTAGAAAGAGAACAATACAGAGAACTAGATCGGTGTACAGTTCAGATAAACAGCTCAAATCCATTCTATGAGACAAAGTTGAGGCTTACACATTTTCAGCAGATAGCGACAACGTGTCATCTTCTTCATACATCCATTCCTCGCTGTCATCAGTGACTGGACGAACACATTTGACAATGTATTGACATGCATCAGGACTTTTACAGTGGAAGGCCAAAACACTGGCGCCAATGCACTTTTCTCAAATAATCCACAATTTCATCCAGAAAGTGAAATGATAACATATTTTGATATCCACATATTTCTTCGTCTTCGCTGCACGGTTGAACAAAGAAAATAATCTGAAATATTAATTTGAGAGAAATTCATAAACTGGCCCAGAATGTCTATCCCTTATAATTTATCTATCACATTTTTTCAGTCAAGTTTTAGGGTTGCTTTGCTGCCACAGGCACTGGATGCTTTCAGCGTGTGAATGGAATCTTATAAAACGGAGAGTTCCGGTTCTTGATTCTGATTGGCTTTCGCGTCATGCCTAACAATGCCCCTTAGCTGTTATAAATTCACTGTAAACCACGGCTTCTTGGAGCTTATTGCTTTAATTTACTAAGGCATTTTGGAGGCAAATTCATACCCAATTTCAGAAAGCAGGGCCTTCACCTAAAGGGTCTTTCAGGACCTAAACACACTTCAAAAAGCACCCAGGAAAGGTTCAAGACAAAACAATGCACTGTTCTGAAGAGGCCAGCAGTGAGTCTAAATATTAAGTGAAATAAAGAATCACGGAGATCAGATATTTAAATTTCAATTCATTTTTTGAGAAAATTGTAGGTTTAAATAAAGTGCAAGGGTGCCAATATTTTTGACCTCGACTGTATAAAGAAAAGAGAAAACTTACAGCTACTTGTAAGCACAGGATTCTGATGAGAGGACCTGCAAAGATCAAACCACGTGAAATTTAGATCCACAGGTCATTGTTGCACTCACTTTTTTGGCATGATGTGCTCTACAAATTCTGTTATATGATATAGGAGCCATTGTGTAAAACCGTTATGGATTGCAGCAGTGCAGTGTCTGATGTGAGTCATTACTAGATGTTACTTGATTTTAACCTCGGAGCTTTCCATTTTATCATGAGACGTAATAATACTTCTGTTTTGGGAAGCAACATTCTACGGACATTGAATTTATTTTGGATGCTGGCCATCCATAAAGTTGAGTATTAAAAACTATATACACATATGATGTGCATATCTTAGAAAACAGGGTGGCTGATGGTTGATCTGAAAGGAAAATAATAAATTCACAACATTGCTACAATAAAATACACTATGTACTTAAATATTTACGAAACTAATTTGAAAATGAACAAAGTGGAAGTATTTGAACATTCTAATTTATTTTGTCCCGTAATCTGTTATAAAGTCAGTCAAAGCAAAAAATTGATCATCGATTGCTTCCAGTTCACACAGATTTTCACACAACATTCAAATTATTAACAAACTTTTTGTGTCATTGTAGCTATGTTTGACAACAACACTACACCGGTTTGGTGACAGCGCTTGCCTTTAGTTAAAAGTTAAAAGCAATTGTATGTTTTTAATATGGCTTCAACAACACTCCTGCTATTGCTGCTTGCAGCTATATTTATTATTATTTATTAATGTTTATTATTGGCTGGCCTTCCGGCCACTGCAACTAAGCAGTGCAGATGATCCAGAATGCAGCAGCACATATGGTCTTCAGTCAACAGAGAGAATGGTTTAACTGTACACCTTCACTGCGTAGGTCTACCTTGTCAATTTAATGCATGTTTTTCTAGGTATGAACATGCTGTCCGTTGTTGGTTTGTTCTTTACCTGCTGCTGATACTAATGTTATCTCCATCGGTTTGGCCTCGTCCGGCGGCCTGTGATACCTTTTTTCCGAGCTCAAGCATCTCCTTAATGTTCAACTCCACGTTCATCACAGATATGTAGCCATCTATAAACACAAACACAGAATCAAGACATCTGCCTCCTCCCTGCATCAGTAAGACAAGTGAAGCTGTATCAGCAATAGGGTTGCAAAGGGGTGGAACATTTCCGGTAAATTTCTGGAAACTTTCCCAAAATCCCTGGAATATTCCAAAAAAATCCTGGAAAGTTTTTTAAATTTCTGGAATATTTCCGAAATTTACTGGAAATTTTCCACCTTTTTTGCAACCCTAATCAATTACAAATTAAATGCTTACATTTTTTGTAATCTGTCTCTAAATGTATGTAACCCAGGCGGTTATTTCTGGTATAGTGCCCAAACAAAATCTCACAAGAACCACAATTTTTGTGATATCAACTTCAAATTTGGAACATAACTTGGTTAGACATATGGCTTTGATTTGAGTGCAACATATTTTATAAAATAAAGCAATAAGCCCCAAAAAGCCGTAGTTTACAGTGAATTTATAACAGCTAAGGGGAAGGGTTGCAAAGGGGTGGAACATTTCCGGTAAATTTCTGGAAACTTTCCCAAAATCCCTGGAATATTCCAAAAAAATCCTGGAAAGTTTTTTAAATTTCTGGAATATTTCCGAAATTTACTGGAAATTTTCCACCTTTTTTGCAACCCTAATCAATTACAAATTAAATGCTTACATTTTTTGTAATCTGTCTCTAAATGTTTGTATCTCAGGAGATACGTGCCTTTTAGGGGTATAAATCAAGATATAAAAT